GCCCTAAAACTACAAAGGCCCAGCAGGGCCAATCAGAAAAACAATCAATAATCAAGTAAAAATAAGACTAAAGATCGGATGCCGAATAATCCGACCAAGTCCACCTTACGCGAAAAACAACCACAAAAATCAAAAAATCGCGTCATCTCAATACGACAAAACACCGAATACGATAATACTGTTAACTTAAAATCGTTAAACGAATCATATCACCAAACATCTTCGCGTACATCGATCACAACTCACGGGGCCCGAATGCCCACACAATTCCATATTGTCATCATCAACACAAGAGCAAATCAATCAAACGCTTAATACCGCGCGCAAAACGTAATATGGGTACCAAATTACCCGACTTGGCTTCTAGGCCCCATTCAATAACAATTCCGAAGAATTGTCCGTCCATTTCACTGACTTAGCTCATTCAAGGGCATAAAATGCGACTAAAATACAAGACGGCAGGCCCATGCCTGAGAACGATCAACATGATGATTGAGGGTCCCAAAGCACCCTGAAATTATATATCGACACATATCCATTCGATGATCTCTATAAGATAAAGAATTGATATCATGACCTTATGTATTGCATGAATGCTATCTACTCCAGAATAAAGAGTCTCAAGCTCGAAAAATTATAGGCACAAGTCTGCCAAATCGTATTATAGACGCGACTTCAGAACATTTCTGTTCAGAACATGTCCTAAAGTCGGAGGCCTCTTGTTGATACACAATTTGGCCTCGAATAATAAAAAGACGACACGTGGGTATATATTAAATAAATATAAATATAGCAGGTTATCCGAGCTGATTATTTAACCGAGTTCCCCAAGTGTCCAGATCGCCCACGTTCGAGTCGAGCAGAATTAAATATCGCCAGCCCGACCTGAATACCGAGAAGATCCATTTCCGGTAGACGCCATGATTTCCGATAGAGTAGACGTCATTCGAAGCCGTCAAGTGTCACGATCGGGCCCCACGATGTCATTTCACATTAAATACTCTTGTCCCTTTTTATCTATTTTTTAATAGCCCACTTGTGAAGTGAGCCTTGTATATAAATGTATTGGGATGAGAGAGAAAGGGGGGGGGGAGGACTATTCCTCCATCTTCTACAACACACAAAATGAAGAAAAATTAGGGGATCTTCATCTTCTAAACAACTAGTGAAATTGCATATTTATCCAACACCGATTATTCCCAGAATAGGGGTGTATATTTTCGTTGATACAAATCCGTTTATCAACAGTTTGATACATATATATACACACATTATGCACGAACGGCGAAACTCAACAACTAACTAATAGCAAAAATATCACTTGTATCGAGTTTTATTTCTTATTTTAATTTTTTTATTATTATTTTTGTCTAAGACGTACACATACAAAAACACATGCACATTATGCAAGAACCTCAACTAGAGAAAAGATGCTAGCTTTTAATTAACTTCAGAGCTAGATTCAAAAACATATAAAATTACAAAAGAAAATAGAAAGGCAGCAGCTTTATTTGAGGTCTCACCTAGCTTCTTGGGTTGGAGCTTCGAATTCGAGTTCAACTCACTTACATCCGAGTTCTAGAAAGCCATAGAAGCTGAAGCAGATTGAAGGACCTAGACTTATATGATAAGTTACGTAATATTAGTAAGTGTTAAAAGGTCCCAAAATGTTGTAGAAGTATTTAAAAGCGTGAAGAAGTTAGTGTAAACACGTAGAAACTTAGAAGGTCCCAAAAGGTTGCAGAAGTATCTAAATGCGTGATGAAGCTAGCGTAAGCACGTAGAAACTTAGAAGGTCCCAAAAGGTTGTAGAATTATCTAAATGCGTGAAGAAGCTAGCGTAAGCACATAAAAGTTTCTAAAAAGCAATAGAAGCTGAACAAGATTGAAGGAACTAGACTTTTGTGTATGAGTCAACATTGTCCTTAAAGTGTGAGAATAGTTTAGAATGAGCAAGAGTGATAGGAAAGATGTAGGTAATTATAGAGAGTTCTTAGAAAAGGTTTGTCTATAAATATAAGAGCCCTCACTTCCAAAGCATCCTACAAGTGTAGTAGTGAGCCACTTTTACCATAAAATAGTTATTACGTTTTGGTATTTATAAGTAAAGTGTTGTATCAAAACGTGGAGAAGCCTATCCGAATACGTGGACTTGAAGCGTGCTCATCGAGAAGGAGAGCGTTTTGGAGAAGATGAAATATTGGTCAACAAGACGAAGAGCGTGCTCATGGAAGAAGATGAAATTTTGGTCAACGACGTCTTGGAGAAGATGAAAATGAAATATTGGTCAAGATGAAATAGAAGTCAGATGAGTTAAAATTATATTCATTTTTGTCAAATTAATGTCAAATCAATACCAAGTAAAATTAATGTGTATTGTTTTTGTTTAAGTAAAATTAAATTTGAGCAACTAATAATATTATGGTATTTCATTGTCAAATTAATGTGAAATCAATATCATTTTCGGTTTAGTTACAGTAAAAGTAAATTTGAGCAACTAATATAACAACAGTCTTAATATAACTGTGATTGTGATCATAAATTTCAACAACTAATATTAACAACAAACTTAATACATTAATAGCCTTAGTACAAGTCTTGGGTATCTTTTTTACCCTTGGGGGCTGATTATCGTGAAATAGTACGTGCAATAATAGGCCAAAGCCCATGAGCGGAGCCGAATGTAGAACTGGCCAATCCAGGCAGTTCTCACTCATACCCTTAAAATACATAACAATAAACGTAGATTAGAAGAACCAATTTAGCAAAAAATAGAAAGAAAATAAAAGAATTGCATACTAATGTAGGGACACGTACGAATGAGAAGGATAAATGAGATAATCTTTCGTAAAACTCAATATCTTATTATCAATTCAATAATCAACTCCTCAATAACAAAAAAGAGTGAATCTTTAAATAAGACCCCCTTAAACCTAACGTGTTCGCCCTCGAAGCCGCACCAAACGTGTCGACATCGGAGTCGTACCCATGGCAATCATTGGTCGTCGTTCCCCCTATTGAATGTCGCCTAACTATGTCATTGGCCGTTAGAACAACGGCCCCATACACGGGGGTAGACTTCTTAAGCAACCCAGCAAAGTGCTCAACATAATATTTCTCGTTCACTCTCAGCCAATCATCCCAATAAGCCTTGGCCCATGTAAGAGACAGTTCATCCCATACGAATCTCGAGGGCATCCATCCCAGACCAGGAAAAAAATTAGAACAAGAAAATACATAAGGATCATAAACAAACTGCCCGTGGTCGTTATCATTCCATGACGATATCGCCATAATGGATGCATCACGGTCAAGGAGTCGAGCTTCAGCCTCAATATATGCAAAGAAAACAGGAGCAATGTCCATATCATCATCCTCCTCCTCTTCATTCTCTTCAACTTTTAGTACTCCGAATTAGGTTTCTTCATTAGATTCATCAGGCCCCGGAGGCTCCTCATCGTAAATCGGCGGACCGTCGTACAATGGCCCGTCAACTTGCTCACTGTCGACTTCGGGGATGTTAACGCGAAACGGGTCCTACCATTGACCACATTCGCGATCAAGTCCCCAATCGCGTCGGGCACGATATCTGTCGGCGAAGGCAGCCCCCTCGCGCATGCCTCTGTTCGTCGCTTTGATCGTCCCCGTCCACGAAGACCGGGCCCGTCACCACATGTCACGGCCGCCGTATGCAGCGAAGGGATCAGCCTCGACGTGCAGGGATGGATACTCACCGAAGGGATTCACCTCTGAGATTGTCTCCTTCTCGTCTTTGTCGACGAACGGTGGCTGGGGAGATCTCCGGCGGGGCGCCCCGCCTGGACCACGGCCTCCACGTCCTCCGCGAATTTCCCCGCACATGCCCCAGTTGTCGGCGTCACGGTACGTTTGCTTGTCCCGAATCATGGTACGAATAGTTAGACGTATGTTCCCGATCTCCACGGACATATCTGCAATCTGACGACCCATCGTCTCGAGCCGGCGGCCAAACCACTCGATCCGGCAGTGGGACTTACAGTATGACATATATCATGCTCATTATTTAGGCTCGACTGGGTGTACAACTTCATCTTATATGAAATTAAATATAGAAAATTGATATGGTATGTAAATAATATAGATGCTTAGAATAATTAATATTTACACCATATATATTGATTGGATTTGAGCTGGCATAGGGCACATGGCCAACATCAATAACCTCTCTAAAGTTATTTTCGGTATTTATTGACATTTCATATTTTGAGTAATTTATGAAAGGTCCCCTCAACTCCTCATAATAAGTCCTTTGCCAGAATGTATTATATAATTCAATGTGTTAATGCCACCTGGATTCACTTCAAATTCGTTGTCACTTTGATTGTTTTTCATCTCAAAATAGGAATTTATTTATTTATTTATTATTTACATGAGCTATCTATTTCCTAATTAAATTCTCCCGTGAATTTTTTTATTAAAAGAAGACTATATCGAGAGGAGCAGCCCAATTTTGAAGGTTTTGATTTGGCCAATCAAAAGTATATTATAAGCTATACCTCTTTTATTTCTAGCCA